GCAGGGACCATTATCCTAAAATTTCAATCTTCTACCTTTTGTGGTTCCCGAGTATTAATTTCTACGCCAAAACATTCATTTATCCATGCCAGAGACTTACTGGTGCGCATGACTTCAATTTATACGCGGGTAGAGGCATCTTGAAATCAAGCTCCCCATCTTTAATGATTCTTGAGTTATTAATTTTTGCGGCAAAAACTTCACTTTCTTTATGTGTGATCCAAGCATTCGGGGTGGGGGAAGGAGGCGGGGTTTGAATTTGAATTTGCGGGATCATATGTGAGGAAAGACATTCTTCTAAAAATTTAGCTTCTTAGTTTTTTGGTCCCAAAGTAACAATTTTTGTGTCGAAACATCACGTGCCCGTATGTGGGACCGAGGAATGCGCGAGAGCTGATTTTGAAGTCACAAGGTCGTACTCGGGCAGAGAAGACTCTCCTAAAATTTCAGCTACGCACACACACAGACAGGATCTCGACAGTATTCGTTTTGCGCAACTATTGCAGCACAAAGCTCAAATAAAAGGGAAGGGATAAGTGCATCAGAGGTCAATAACGCTAAGTGCTCCTAACGGTGCGCAGTCACGTGTCATCAGTGGGTTGATGTTTGCCTTTCACTCATGCTTCCCAAATATACAAAATTTTATCCGATTTTCTGGTTGGTAAGGCATCTTGTTGGGTACTAGGAATAGAGGCAGGCCAGTGTTGCGCAATCCAAACCATGAGCGCAACAAAATGGTCAAAGCCTCGTCAAGTGTATCTGTCAAGAGGACCGCTGAAACAGTACCGAAGCATCTCTTGCCAAAGCAACTGGAAAAGCTGCTCGAAACGCACAACTGGAGAGCCACTTTGTGCGTTGCAGCTGATCGAACTATTAAAACATCATAGAATCCGTGACACTCGCTGCTGGAGACATCAGCACGATTTGATTACCGCTCTTATCGCAGTCTATTCTAAGCTAGGTAACACCTATACTTATAGCAGTAGTTTCTCATCGTAAGCAAGAATAAGAAAGACTACTTTTCATTTTCTGAGTAATATTTGATGACCGAAACAAACTGTTTGTAATGTAAAAATTAAGCTTTAACCTTCTCCAAGTACTGCCCCCCTTGTCCAAAATTTTCCGCGTAATTCGAGCGGCATGTACTGCTCATCAACACTCTGGTCGCCGTTTTCTTCCGACACATTGCCTTTGGAGGCAGGCGGAGTCCCTCCCATTTTGTGATCTTCTGCCACATTTTCATTGGATTTTGGCAGAGTCCCTCCCATCTGCTGGTTTTCTGCCACATTGTTGCTGGACGCTGGCAGCGCCTCTTCCGTTTGTTGACTTGCCGGCACACTGTCATTGGACCTTGGCGGAGCCTCTTCCGTCTGTTGACTTGCCGGCACACAATCACTGGACGCTGGTAGAGTCTGTTCCACTTCTTGATTCTCCATTCCCGATGATTAGTTCCAAATTCCGCGTAATTCTA